ATTTGACAACATTTCTCATCATGTTGAAAAGAAAACAAAACCATGTTTTTTTCTTTCTCTGCCATAAAGTCTCTGTTGCAATCATGCTATTGGTCTTCTAAGATATGTTCCTTTGACTGAATTACAGAGTTTGCAAAAAGTAACAGCTGGCAAAATATGCATGTATTTACTCACCTTGAGCATGTTGATTTGATTGGCCTTGATTTGAGCTAGCAAGGAGAGCAGGCACGTTATGTGATTTTTGAAGCAAGGTTTATTCTCAAAAAAAAGTTTGTATATATATATGTAAAATCTTTTTACCCTAATGTAGCTGGAGCCCCGTCAGAAACTCAGTACCCAGAAGAGCTGCAATTTTTACTCACAGATACACTCCATCTTACAGCTACTCTAAAGGCTGTTCACATGTATCATACACATTTTTTGCTAATGTGAAAACTAAAATGCTCAATTACCAATTACAAACACTTAGAAATTACAAATAATCTGCAGTTATGGTGATTACACATAGGAGGGAGTAGAATACAACAAAATGTGAAGTAATGAAATGCCCACTGGTGACCAGTAAGCATGAACTCCCCTCTTCCAGCAGGCTGATACTGAGCTTTTAAAATTAAACCACAACTGCATGAAATTGAACTTTTTTTTCTGAGTCAAACACATGCCCAAATTTTACCCTTATTTCAAGTGACTGAATTAGATCAAATTTTAACCATAAACTGTTATTAGAGAAACATGAACTAACTTGGAAGAAAAAAAGACCGCAACTGAAATAAAGACTGGATTGCATCAGACAAGTGGTCACTAGTTGGGACCAGTGGCCCCTAGGGAACAATGAGACTCCTCTTGAGGAATCACACACAAACGTCCAAGACAGGTACTCAGAGCAAATGCTTCAACTGTCCTTTTAAGGGTAAGCACAGACTGTAAGTGTATACTTGGCAACATCTTTCTATAGCACAACACATGTGGGTTGTTGAGTCAGGCCTCAGTATGAACAGAAATTAGACACTTACCCACCTCTGCCCCACACCTTGAAGAACTTGGCTGGACCCATAGAGCACACTGTTCCCAGATGTCCTGGTAGTTCAGGTATTCACAGTTACAGCTGGAAATGGCTGTTTTTAAGGGTGCATTTGGTCACAGCTGAAGGGAGGAAGGCATCTGTTTGCTGTTGTGGCCCTCCACAGCTCCAGCATGCTCCTGCAGACGGGGGAAGCAGAGGCAGGGTAACTGACTTGTCGTTGGCAGCAGGCAGGGCAACAGGCAGGGACAGCAGGCAACAGGCAGGCTCCTGCCCTGCTACCTGCCGGCCGGTGGCAGCTCTCCCACATACCTTGCTGACCGGTTGCACACACTTAGCTGAGCAAGCAGAAGCAAAGAGCAGCGTCTGCACTGCCGTGTCACGAAGCACCTCTTCACTTTGTCACTTTGATTGGCTTTGCGGAGGCCAAAAGTTCAGAGCTGGGCTTTGCTGCGAGGAGGGGCTGCCCAGCGCCCGCTTCAAACAAGCTGTGCGCTTGACACTGGCGTTTGGAGATTAACGTGGGAAAAAGTCAAGCCCGATGATAGCGCCACAGATTTTTACAGGGGCCTTATCAAGCACGAGGTGTTTCAGTCTTTCCAGGACCGACTCCAGTGTCGGAGGGCGAGTGGGAAGCACGGACAAACACACCGTTTCCTTCCCTCCGGGCTGGCTTTGCAGTACGCGTTTTGCTAACCTAATCAGATGAAGATAAACACCTTGCAATATAGTGTCTGAGCGACGTCAGCTTTTTGTGTGCTTGGAATGATGTCAGCACCAGCTTTGCAACTACGCTTTAATCCCTTGAGCAGCAATAAATGCAGCAGCTAACCTATTACTTTCCACAGGCTGCCACACGAAGATTATTTTATTTTTCCCCTGCAGGCTATGGATGTTGTGCGAAGGAGGGAGGACAACCAAAACAATGCGATCCACTCCCATGCCGAGCCTTTTTTCGTGAGGAGTCTAAACGACTTTAAATTGAATAATGACTAGAATAAATGACACCTCTCAGCACACAAGTCAGGCTCATTTAGGCCCTTAAGAAATAGATTTCACTCATTTACATCAGTGCAAATACCAGATTAATTTCTCAGGATTTACACTACTATCACTGCAAGTACATTTTTTCCCCACATTTACATACACTCACCAATACACTTAAAGCTTTCCAAGCCAAATATGGCCTAGAGTTTCAAACTTGTATAGAGGCCTCTGGGGAGGCGTCTCAGAAGAATCAAAATTTCATGCAAACAGCCTAAATTGGCTTAATTCAGAAATCAAAAAAGCAGAAATGAAGGCACGGAAACTGGTACCAAGAAGGTAACTATCAAGGACATCGGGAAAAGCAAAAATCAGTGCCAGAATTGGCCTGATTCAAGGTTCGTTCTTCTTTTTTTGAAATAAATTTTCCTCATTTTTCATGTTCCAGTGGAATTACACCAGATTACAGGTCATTTATACCTCGCTTTACTTACACTTTGATTTCAATTTGTCTCTTCGTGTTACCAATTTTCAACATTTGCTTCTACTGAAAGAATAGGAAAGTTACAAGCTAGTTAAGTTGTTAGCTATACTGTCACTTATTAAATTAGCAAGTTTTTCATAGAAACTTTAGACAAAACTTTAAGAATAAAGAACCGATCATTACTAATTCTTTTGGTATTCATTATGCTATTAGTCACAGAGCTCACTCATACATTTCCAAATTTCAACATAATCATTTCAGGATGAGGAGTATTATTTTTTCCCCTTCCCAATAATTTTTCCTTGGCATCACATTTCATACCCTTCCTCTCTGACTGCCAGGAAAGTGTGGTTTGGGGTTTTAGGGGCTTGGGTTGGGCTTTTTATTTTTTTCTTTTCAGAAACACAGGTTTACCGAGGTTATTTCACATCTAAGAGAACGCATTTTTAATTGACTTGTTTATCACCGTAACACGTGCACACCCCAGTAAGGCTAAGGGATCGGGTTATATGACATCATGGTGCCAAAGGAATAATTGTCTCTTGTTTGCGCAGTCCTGAAGAAAAGCCTGTAGCTTGAAGTCACACACAGTGCTCCACTGACAAAATAAATACTGTGGTAAATAATAACATTTTTTAAATTCCGATTTTTTTTTTTAATTGGGAGGAGTAGAGGAGACAGAGTGGCTGGGGGAAAAGCCTCTGCTTCCAAAGTCTGCCATAAGGTCCTGTCCTGTGAAATTATTTTGCTTGTAGACATGGCTTTTCGCCCTGCACAGTTGTGAGAACATCATCCCTTTCCCCAAGACCAGGAGGCAGCTGAGCCCATCCGACAGCCTCCGTTCAGCAAAATCTTGCATCCCACTGCAGCAGCTACCCATCGAGGGTCAAGCAGTGCTAATTAAGCTGTTGAGGCATTTCTGCAGCATGCAGTCCGATACCCGTCCTCCACTAACAGTGCCCATGAAGCAGGAATAAAAGAAGAGCCAAAAATCACCTGTTTGAATAGCAAATCCCCCTCTCACGTTTCACTTCAAGCACAAGAAGCTCTGAAAACAAGGCACCCCTTCAGGATCTGATAAAGCTGACTTCAGCTGCCAGAGGATTCCTCCGCAGGAACACCAAAAAACTTTTGCCTCGAATAAAAAAAATTCACTGCAAACGAGCAATCATTAGTCAGCCACGTTTTTCATATAATTACTGGCAGTGAAAAAGCAAGCATGCAGGTTGCTGTAAAATAAGGTCTAACTACTTCCACCCAAACAGAACAGAAGCCGTTCACAGAAGTTTTAGTGGGGGAGAGGGAAACCCTCAGCGGCCTCCCCTCCCCTTCTCTCTGTGAATGATTACAATCTGTTTTTTTCTATAAAGCACATTTATTGTGGGAGTTTGATTTGAAAGAGTTTCAAGTAATTTAAACTTTGGCTGAAGGCACACAGATCATTTAAAAATTGATCTTCAAGTGTTTCTACATGTTAGCAACATTTCTGGTCGGTGCTATAATCAATGGTTTTAATTCTCAACCTACCAACTGAAATGCTCAACGCATGCCAGGAATTACCTAGGATGAAATCATGTAGTACGAAGTTAGCCAGCCTGACCATGATCCTTGCGCTAGCAGTTTTGGTGCAATACTCTTATTCTGAATTGGAGAGGGTTTGGTGCTGGGGGGTTTCTTTAGGGGTGATCATCAGCCAACTACAGCTTTTTCAAACTACAGAACTGCTGAAAACAGACTGCGCCCTTGTTCTAATCAAACCCCAGCTCAAATGGTCTTTTTTTAATGGACCAGGACTCATCTGCTCCTGCCTTGTGCTCACAAGGCACCTTATTACTCCACTTGAACTTCTACGTGACCTCACTACCTGCACTTATTATCATCTAAGATGAACAACAGAAACTGAATCTGGCCTTAAATAAAAGACAGTAAATTAGGAGGTGCTATTTCAGGTTCATCCTTTCTGGAATTGAGGTGCAAATGCCACATGCACATTTCTCTAGGACTTTGGAAAGTGCAAGTGCCAGCTTGTTCCATTTTGGTATCTCTCTTCATCAGCCAAAGGGCCTCCCATCACCAAAACCACATAGTTCTCACTGCATTTCAGTACCCTCCTTGAAAAAGGTAATTGGGCTTGATAGGTGGAAGGCACAAGCCAAAAGAAAACAAACAAAATAAAAGCCAGTTTCATTCATAACAAACAAAAATTTTTGATGAAAAGGCTTACAGTGTTGCCTTGTAAACAGAGGTGTTAAGCTTTCTCAGCTCACAGGTCTGGCAAGACCTTGTTAGCAGCACAAAAAATACTAGCCAAGTGATCCTAATGGAGCAAACTCCTGCCACACCTCAGACACTCAGCAAGAATACCGTTCACCACTGAAGTTTAGTTAAATATGCACAATTTTATTTATTGAAGAGATTAGGACAAAAACATTAAACCAAATACATGACAAAGCACCAGAGGCAGTAAAACCCCACCATGCACATCACCAGTCTTTCCTCCTATAAGGTACTTAGAAAATAAAAAAGAAAAAAAAAAGTCCTTCTTGACACAGCACCATCTTCAGAGTGTAAAAACATTACTCCTTTATATTCTTAGTTACCAAAATAGAACCAAGGCAGGTCAGCTGCAGCTAGCTTTGTCTCTTGATAAAGAACTGTGAAACATCCTCTTGAGAGTGGGACCATAACTTTCCTGCAAGGCAGGCAAATAGCATCCATACGTCAAATGCCAAGTAGCTGTACGCACATGCCACATACTATAATTAAGCACAAATTCAAGTAACATTTACATACTACAGAGTCCACATGTACCTACCCAAAAAACATGACCACTTCACAAAACGTATACAGGCAGTAATATCAGAACAACTGAGGTACTGGAAACACAAATATTTATATGCCAAGAGATTTCAATATCATACAGCAATATAAAAGCAGTAATAAAAACATTTGCCAGTCTAAATCAAATAAAGCTATCTAGAAAAAGAAGCTAAATAAAAAGTTATTTAGGGACAGAAATACCTGAACAGAAAAGAAGTGTGTTAACTACAGCATGTAACATGTCATCCCAAGTCAACCCGTAATTGAAGTACTGGCTTAATACATCACTACTGTGACATTTTCTTCAATAAATAGAATAAGTCTTGACAATACAAAAGGTGCATATTACTGTGTATGTTTCAAGAGGAATATCTGTAATATAAATGTTCAGCTTATTAATACCCTCTTATTTCTTATTCTGGACATAAACAAAAATCAAACCCAAACAATTCTTTTCGCAAGTTGAAAGGAATTCAAAGAAAAAAAACCCCACAATACTCTTCTTCAATAATAAAAAGCCCTCTATTTACACATGGGCAAGTCAGTTAAAGAAGAGATCGTTTCTCAGATAAAGACACAATTAAGGGCTTTCTGCCCTCTCTAGTCATACACGTGCAGCATGGCAGATATGGAAGCCAGTATCTCGTATCTTAAAAAAAAAATTATACAGTTTTCTCCTTTTTTTCCCCCCCTACTATAGCAGTAATGCATCTGGAAGTTTGAGTTATAATAGCTTCCTGCAACAAACCATTTGACACAAAACAGAACAGCTTGTTAAATGACAGTTACTTCCCCTTAAGGGAACAAAGCATTAAAATTTCATTTCCTGACAAGAATATTAAGTAGTTTATTTAGAAGAAATGAGCTGAAAATAGCTATCAAGAGACATGAACTGAAATTTTGTTTGTTTTTAGCACCCACTTTTCATGTCCGTCTTTGTGCACCTAATTTTTTTCTTAAATTATTCCCATTAATAATTAGACATCTGATTAAAAAAAAAGTTAGCCAATTGTACTTTCCCTGAATAATGGCTGAAGTTAAATATCTAACAGTGCGATGCCAAGATGTGAGCTGAGGCAAAAAAGTTTCTATTTGTCGTGAGTTACCACTATTTTTAATGGAACAGAAACAGGAGTGATACAGCTGCACCAGAATTGGCATGTGCAGTCTCCTTGGCTCCAAAAAGGTGAGAAGCTACAATTGCTCCATGCTGCCTTTTCTCCTCCAAATCAATCTAACCTGATAGCAAGCTCCCCCCGCCCCCCCAATCTGTCCCCATGCTACATTTGTTATATTAGCTCCTTGTGGAGGTTCCTTCTCAATCTGAGGACCTCTGAGTGTCTTTTGCTATCAAGCTAGGCTGATGCAGGATGTGATTTCACACGGTCAGGAAGGGCTCCTTCATGTGTCCATCTCCAGGTTGTGTACCTTCTGAACACCAGTCTTTGTGCTCAGTTAAAGAACGGGTCCAAGTCTTCTTCCATGTTGACATCAGGCACCAGCTGATCTGATACTTCCTTAGCACCATATCCTGAATTCGATACATTAAAATCTGTAGAAAACCATGGATGGTCCAGAATTTCCTGTGAAGTCAGCCTTTCCGATGGCTCCCGACGCAGTATGCTACGTATGAGGCATTTTGCCTTGGGGGATAGAGTTTCTGGAATGTTAAACTGCCCACGACGGATCTTGCTGAAGAGGGAACTAGGCTCAATGTCATGGAAAGGATAGCGTCCAACTAGCATGGTATAAAGCATGACACCTAGACTCCATACGTCCGCTGCTTTGCCAGAGTAGCTGCCATTTGTGTTCAAGATCTCTGGACTCACATAGGCTGGGCATCCATGCTTATCAGAAAGAGAGTCATCATTTCCTCTTAAAATATAAGCATCTTCTAGGCTTTCCAATTTCACTCTAGTCCTGTGGGCAAAGAAACCAAAACCATCAAGGTAAGCAAATATCAAAACACAAATTCCTGGCTGTTAGAATTATATGATTATAATAGTAATACTCTACAAAATTCAACAATCACAGAAGTGCGTCAGTTTAAAATCCCACTCACAGCACTTGTGACAGATAATTGATACCATCTCTTCTATACTGCTTAGAAATACTAGAGACACATAGTGAATATTGCCACACACAAAGCTACAAGATTTCAAACACAGTTATGTCCAGTAAATTTATTAGTAAGGTCTTAAAAAGATATAAGTAACTGCCGTATTCATGTGTTTTGTAAATTTTACATAGACTTCATTTCCAATAGGAGACACAAACCTCAAGATTTTTTTCTGTGTTAGCTGCACTCTAATGCACCTGTGTAGGACTCAGGCCCAAATACAAGCCTAGCCCTAACTAGACAAGCTTATTTTGACACCTCCACACTGGCGAGCAGTTACTTGCACCTGCAATTCCACAAGGTTCAACAGGAACGAAATCGTCACTCTGACCCTAAACGATCCCTCTGATCAACCAGCAGTTTTCTTTATCCCAGCATTAAGGACAAGCAAGTTTGTTACAGATTTCAGTCTTCCTAAATAGACCTTTGGGCAAGGCGAGATCAGGTGAACTGAGCACCACCAAGATTACCAGCAAGCTTCTCTACCCAGCAGAACCAGAGGAGCCCCTCACGTTGGAATGAGCCGAGAGGCCAGCAAAGCGCTTGCACAGAGATGACAGGGATACCTTACCTAGGTTGCAAACTCCCTCCTGCCTGCAAAGCACTGTGAAGTTGTCACTGTGCTGCAATAATTATCTCTGCAAGAGAATATTCTTCTCTTACGGATATCACACTGGAGCAGAAAAAATGATGCCGAGTTGCTTGTCATAGCACTAGAGGAACATAACCTTTCTTTCCTTTTAATTCTCACTGCTAGCATCTGTAACTGTATTTAAAAACCTCTCCCTGTTAAAAGCATCCAAGAGGATTACCAACTACCCTTTAGACTATTTGGCAGCAATGGTTGGTTTTGAGAGCAGAATCACTACAACACAACAGGACCTGTCCAGCGCATCTGGATGGAAAAGTGACCTAGCAGCGGTGGAGGCTTTCTTTTCAACAACTGGGGACCGTAACTCAGCTTTGGGTATTACTGTCCTCATCCTTCAACCTCACCAGTCTGTATGACCACTCGTAGCTCTGCGTCAGGGCTGTGTTCCCATACCACAGACATTCACAGGCAGGGATCAAACTTCATTGCAGAAAGCAGAACTCACGTCTCTTGACCAACGCACGTCATTTGACAGGCATTAAAACAAGACAAGGAAAGCCCTGTTTCTTAAATGTTTACTGAAGACAACCTTGCTTGGGCTTGAGTTGCAAGAGACAGCTGGGCCAGCTTTGGCTTAGACTTAGTTCCAAGTCAGCTCAGCACTGATAAAAACTCCCATAATGACACTTGGACCTTTTCAACATCTAGAGACGTTTACTAGCAGAGGTGAAAGCCCCTTTGGCAACGTGCCTTGAATCAGGAAGTCATAAATACAGAATTCGGAATACCTGGCTCCCCAGCACAGCGTCTCAAGGCAGCTCCTTCTCTCCTCAAACAGGCCAGTGTTTTCTCCTCCAGTGCGGATGCTGATGGGTTTGCGCAACACACTTGCTTCCTGATTAATTACCCATTGCCAGGGCACTTCTCCTGGCTATGGACAACCCCCTCATTAGCACTCAAACAATACTTTACAGCAGCAATACCTCACACAGGAAGCTGGCTGCCAGGAGAAACTTAACTACAATTATCAAGACCACAACAATTTCCCTCTGTACACAGCTCAGAGGGTCCGTAACAGCAGAGTGACTAGAGAAGAGTCCTTCCACGATGCTCAGCTTCGACATGTTCCTGCACCTGCACAGCACAGGAAAAGCAGCAAGGAGAAACGCCCAGAGAGAAAAGCACACCAAGGAAGGCACAGAACAGAGAGAAGGAAATGAAAGGGAAGGCAGAGACATGAGTTGTGGTTCTATTTGCACTGCCCACCTCAGTTTTTCCATAGAAAAGTATGTGCAGCAATAAAATGGTGAGGCCAGCTACTCAAACATGCATTAAGTCACTGAAGTGCCAGACAGGAAAGCATTGACTCGCTCCTGCTAACTAACAGAAGCAGAAGACACACGGGGAACGGGGCAGAGCACGCTATTAATAAACAACTTACAGGGGGGAATTCACTCCCCACACACGCTCTCCTGCCATCTCAGTGTCAACAGTGCAAGGAAACACTGGCTACTCTCCCATCCCATCTTACGTTTCTGAGAGTTGCCAAAGAATTTAGAGAAACAGTTCAACAAGAAGCTTTTGCATTACAAGAAATCCCTGGAAATCCCTGATTTCTTATTTTCTACAATGCATATGGTATAAAACCACAACGAGCACACTGCAAAGCGTGTCAAAACAAAAAAAACCACCTGTTTCTCCAACAGGAGAAATCATTTCTTGATAATAAAAACAGAAGCCGCTCACAAAAGCCTTATCCCTGTGTTGATTTTCTTGCAAGGTGCTGCAGCCTGCAGCCCTCCGCGCGTGCTACGGCGGGTTTTGTTTAAGCAAGCAAACGGAACAACAGCTGGCCCTTATCTGCCTGCTCCTCCCTAAGCCGTGGCCAAAAGCAGCAAGCGCTCAGACCAGGTTTTTCACCCTGCTCAACGACAGGCTTCGAGGAAGCTAAAGGTCTCAAATGAAACGAACCCACACCCTTCAGCCCTTCTCCTCGCTCCTCGGCAGCCCCCAAACCCTCAACCCTCGTGTATAAGGGACACGTGGGAAAGGGCTCCTCCGCAGCGAGGCGATGCTCGGGCGCAGGTACAGCGCTGGGCACGCGCTTCCCTCACAAGCCGCAGGAGCTGCATCTCTCGAGCGAGCTGCCAGGTGCACGGCCTCAGTGCGACCTTCTCCCCCTCTCAGTCACCACCAGCAGCAACTCGGGTGTTCCCATTTCCCTTCCTAAGTTCGGGCGTCCTTGCAGACGGCGACAACGCAGGTTTTCCCTCCTCATGGCAAGGGGAGCGCAGGAGTAGGGGAAGGGCTCGCCCGCTCGGCACAGCCTGTGCACGGAGGTGCTTTTGCCGCCGAGGGCCCCGGCTCTGCTCTGCCAGAACCCCTCACCGTGAGTCAGCGCCAGGGCTGGGGAGCCCCACTCCATCCCGCCTGCTTTCACCAGTGACGGATGCCTTCACGTACCTCAGCCTCGCATGCAGAACACAGCCTGCAGTTGTACTCCAATTGGGTAATACGCAGGTGTAGACGGCAAGTCTCACTCCTCTTTTTACAGTCATTTCACATTTTTTCAGGCAATCAAAAAGGAGCAGCCTGGCTAAGGAGCTGCTATTTCCCAGCATGCAGCACCCCATCTCTGCAAGAAACAGCTTCCAGCTCCGTCTGGCCTTCCCTTCCTCCACGTTCCAAGCATTGCCTAGAAGAGCTCTGCTTTCTCCAAGCCAGAGAGCTTTTTTCTTTAGGGGGGGTGGAAGGGAACAGGAAAGAGTCTAAATACACAGAAATGCAGACACGCTGGGTGAGAGGCAATCTCTCTCTCTCTGAGGAAGCACCGAAATCAAAAATCCAGGAATAAGAATGAAAGCCAACAACAACAAACAGACCCTCAAAATTGCAAGTAGTTTCTGAGAATACAGAACCTCCACAGCAAAGGGCAGGGAGTGCATCCAATCGCAGAGTAACTGGACAACCCTAAATTCGACACTTGGCAGCCAAGGGACAGACTCAAAACCAAACACTGAGATGTGAAATCACAATCAGCTTTGAAGTGCATCCCATCACAGAGCAGAAAAAGGCAAACACAAAAATCATTCTTTTTTTTCTTTTCAAAGTCACATTCCTAAAAAACTTTCATTCTCTAAATAATTAACTCACATCACTCAGCTGAAAGACCCCGCAAGAGGAAAAAAGTTTTCCAAAAGCATCAGCATTTGAGTTCGACCATTCAAATGGTTGCAACAAAATTAATCCCTAAAGTTCAAATGTAAGCTACTGCCAAAGCCGGATGAGAATCACTTTGTACACATACTGTAGGGCAACAAAGCCTTTTGTCAAGGCTTACGTAATTACAGTACATAATTTCAAGTTTTAATGCAGACCCTGAATAAGCACTTGGAAAAAGAGCATTATGCATCTATCAGATCATTGATAAAACACTGCATTAGTCTAAAGCATTAAAAAAAATACAACCCTGAATCATGGCTATTTAAAAAGGGGAAGCTATTCTGCCTATGAATGCTTTCCCATTAGTGGTGAATGAAACCACAGAAGTGCAATCAGAGGGCAGCAGCAGCACTCAGACGGGAAATGCGTCTTTGTCCCCATAGAAACCGTCAGGGAAACCCATGAAAAACAATACCACTCTGAATTTCTTATCAATATGCCATTCATTACTTGACTGCATTCAGACTTTGCTCTTCAGTAATGTAACAAAACCTAATCAATTAAACATCTTCCAGAAGATTCTTCAATGCAACCTCCTGAGTTAGCACCCATCGCTGGCAGACAGCTTTGTTGCACATCCTACACTTTTTTTTCCAGAGTGATTCGCATTATTCCTCCCTGCAGAGCTTAGGGGCTACTGGCAATCTACTACCCTGCCTTTTGACACTGAAACCAGGGCTGTAAGAACCCGCATTCACACTTGCTTTCCGAAAGCAAACACAATTTCCACACCATAAATCAGTGGAATTATTCAGAGGGCTCTAAGCTCATAAGGCAGGAGAAAAAAAGAAAAATCTGGAACATTTAAAGCAGAAATACTGACTGAAAGTCTGAGTGTTTCAGAGGAAAGTGTCTCCACCGCTCTGAATAAACAGTCAGTAGTACAGCAGTCCGTGCCTGAATCAATGAAAGCAGTTGCTTCTAGCCTGCCCCCAAAAGCCATCTGAATGGGAAATAACACCTGAACCACAGCTGAGCCACTGTTAC